CGCCTCATTCCGACATTCATTCGCACGGTGACCTGCGCCACCATATTTGTAACACTTGAGAGGGTCAGACGGATATCCTCCCCCACTCGGTTTCTTCCCAGCAACATCTTTCTGTTGTCTTTTATCCGCTGGAGCACAATGGGATGTATCTTCATGCTTCCGTTTGCCTCTTCTGTCACTCAGATTCTTATAGTGAGCGATTCTAGCTCTGTTATCTTCATCATAGATCCCACACCTGTTCACCAGCTCAGGAAAGTATCTGATCTTCTGATAACCGATACCCAACTTGATTTCAGGACGCAGTCCATTCTCAAACTTGATGCACTTCGAACTCATAGTTGCATCAGTATTGTAATGAGGACAATACTTCACCAGCTCTTCGAACTTAACTGCATACTCAACCACTATCATGGTTCCCTGCTTCAACTCAATAAATTCAATTTCCTTTTTCCCGCGAACATCTTCTGGAAAATACCGTTCCAGAAACTACGCCCTGAACACTGTCCAACTAATGGGACCTTCACCAGCTTCCAACTTTTGACGGGTGTTGTCCCACCAGTCCTCAGCTTCACCTTCCAGCATATGAGTACCAAACTGTACCTTCTGATCCTCTGAGCAGCCCATGACTCTGAAGATTTTCTCAATATCCTTCAGCCATTTCTGTGCTACATCTGGATCATGTCCTCCCTCGAACTTAGGCGGCTTATTACTCTGAAACTTTCCCAAATTATAGAACTCTCCATCGTCAGCATTTCGGTTGACGTTCTGACCAATGTCCGCCACTGCCTGCGCAACAGCTTGTAACGCAGCAGCCATCGCAGCATCATTCCTACCAGCCATACTTCTCAACAACCACGGAAACACAGGTTAGAAACACACACATGACTATAAACATTCTATAGTCAGACTCTACTACAACACTGGCCGGACGGACCAACCTGCTCTGATACCAATTGTAACACCCCACTTTACCCCATACGCGTAATATAATAAATATATAGAAACAATTCATGAAATTCATCAGAGTTCTCCAACACAGTGGGATATCACACTAAGTCACTTCATTTCATTAAAATAATCAATATTATTTAGTTTTCAAGTAAGCAGCAGAATACAAATCAATTCTCCAATATAATTCTCCTCGACACGAGGTCATACAACATAAGTCCAATAAATGAAGATACGTAACAATAAACAAATAAAGTAGTCAAATAACAACGTAATCCCGTCATCCCATGTTACGTATCAGAGCGACTCCTAAGACTCGATCAAATAGCAACACACTCCAAGCACTACTCAGGTACCTGGTCACCTGTACTCCCAAGAGAGCACAGACACAACAACAAAAAGGGGTGAGAACTACATTCAATAAATAAACGGTGAAATACACATGCTAAGGAGTAGTTACACACCACACATACAATCATACATAATTAACGCACATACACGTGCCACCTCAATCATTCGGCACTAATAGCCCATATTCAATTACAATAATACAATGCGACTCACTGACTCGACACAATGCATGTGGTACCAACACAATCTCATACGGTTCACACTAGAACCCGATTCCCGTCGGAATCCGGGTAAGTCGTATATACGTTCCTCTGAACTACAACTTATCTCCACAACGACTTCCACATTGAAGTCCGGATAAAACTAGGCACCCATCATGGATTCCCACCTAGCCATCTCCACAAGACACATGATATGAAATGTATGTCAACACGACTATGCAATATAATACATCATACATAATTCACGATCAATCTTGATCCACGTGAGCCATCCGCTCACCGTAATCCTCTCGGGAATTACCATAATTAGATATAAAAATATTGGGAAAATAAATCCATTATCTACCCTATGTTATAGCTCTATTCATTAGCTTTCCAACGCTTCAAACGGGGATCAAAACGGACTTACGGATCCAAAGTTACGTCCAAAACAATTTCGACCGAAAACATGAACATCCGTGACGGACAGAAAGATGCTGTTACGCTCCGGAACTGATATTCACCCAATTATTCTTGCGAATCACTTACTCAAAGCACCCAAAACATCACTAAAACATTCCTAAGGTTATACGGCAATAACGACACAACTTCTATGATTTATTATGCTCACCTGACAACATTTGCAACACATAAAACACTATTTCCTGCAATTGCTCTGAGTACTTCAGAGTTACCCACATTTGAATATTCCTATTCCTATAGGGACAACATATTACAATTTTTCCTTCAATTACACCCTACGACATTAAAATTACTCACTATCTAATATTTAACCCCTTCAGGGTCAGACATATAACAATGTCAAGGTTCTGGTCACGAAGGTTCAATTTCCCATAAGTTTTTCCCTACAAGCACATATTAATATTCAACGATACATATCATTTGGCCATTTGGCTATAACCTCAGATTCTTACGGTTACCTCCCTATTTCCCACAATTAACCCAAATCCCTAAACCTTAGGGAAACCTTAGAGCATCGTACTAATAACGATATAACACATTCATTTCTACATATTTGCCCAAATCCCTAAAAGTTCAGATTTCCAGATCTACTACTCACTAGTATTCTATGACAGCATCAAGGATTTCTCACACAAATTCCGTATTAATTCTGGTTTCGGATACACAAAACATCATACAAACAGTATTCAACAATAACAGAAAATTTGAGAACAAATCAAGTTACGAAAATTGGATTCAAGGATCCTCAAGAACACATAATTCCTATGAGAGAAAGGACCTCTCACTACCCTCTCATGTTAATTCACCCATATTGAAATCCATTCTCCCCCTTACCTTAGAATTGAGCTTTTCCTTGATCAACAATGGAGAATTTGGTTCCTCTGCCCTAGCTCTCCGTGTTCGTCAGTTTCTCTTTTTCACGTACTAACTGGTTAACCCTCCACTAACTCTCTATTAACCCCTTAATTAAATTTTAATTCAGTTAATTTAAATTATTACTAGTAATAATAATATCAATAATAATAATAATATCAATAATATTACTACTAATAATAATGATATTACTAATAATAATAATAATAGTCTCATTAACATTATTATTAATAATAATTGGAATAATATTAATCACTATAATACTCTCAATATCATAATTAACTTACTTCTTTATCTAGGTCCATAGTACCCCAACTAAGGTCACCTCTCTCCCTTACTCCTAACCTCATACCCTTAATTAAGGACACCACACAACTACACATCACAGAAAATACCAAAGCGACCGAATAATTTAAATGGGGTGTTACAATTTTGGTATCGGCTGATCCCTAACTCCATTCTTAAAGTATTCTTTCTTGTGCCCCGACCATTCCTTTCCATTTTGTGCTTTTTCTTTGGCATCCCGTGATCTTTTTTACATGTTACTCTCCCCTCCTTTGATGTAGCATTCCTCCCGGGTAATGATGTCATCCATGTTGGACACTCTTTTGTGCTAAAGATTCATTAAACTGTCCGACTTTGAGGTTGTGTTGAAATACTCCGACGAACATTTCCTGGTTTGGGTGGGATTCCTTGATGGTTTCCTCATTGGACCTTGCTAAATATTCTTGTAGAGATTTCGAGTATCCTTGTTGGATGCTAAACAAAATGGTAGTTGACACCTTCTGGTGCTTACTTGCTGAAAAATGTTGTATTATCTTTTTAATTAAATCCTGATAACTAATGATTGAGAATATAGGTAATCTCATATACCACCATAAATCTCCTTTCTTAAAGGTTTCGGCCATGAGTTTACACTTAAGAGAGTCAGAAGCTCCCATAATTTCCATTTGATTATTGATTGCAATAATATGTTCATGTGGTCGGTCTTACCATCAAAATACACCAGTGTTAGTGGTTTGAAGTTATTTGGAACTTGATCGTCCCAGATAGCTTCTGACAAAGGTTGGGAATCCAGGTACTCCTCCTCCGCCTCTCTTTTCTGTTGGCTTGATTATGCAGAACTTGGACACTGTATTGCAAGGTTTCATTTTGCTGACGGAGGGTCTCCACCACTGCCAGAAATTGAGTTATATCTGGTGGTAGAGGTGGATCACTTAAACTGGGAGATGTCCCGGACCTCGTATTACTGAATTGCTAATGGTATTGACAAGTTTTTTGTGTGGCCTAGGTAAGTTTTACTAAGACCCCACTATGTGCGCCAAATGTTCTTGCTATAACACTTAAGTGTTGCCTTCCCTGTTATACCTCGATGAGAGTCTTAGATGGATGGTTAAGGTGTATGTTTTGTGTGTGCTTACTGTGTGTTGGTTGTCCCTTTTGTTTTTCAAGCACTCCTTATTTATAGCTCTTTCTTTTCTAATTCATATTCATGTAACGCCCTCCACTTCCCATAATTATCTCATAATGCACGTCTCATCAATGATTGTAACTCTCCAGTCATAATGCATTATTTCATAATCGTCCCTTGTGTCTTTTTGTATGGCATCCGAGCCTTGTCATCATCCCGACTTTGTACGACCGAGACAGTTCTCGATTTATACGAGGTCGGCTCAACCACATTTTATCTGGTTACTTTTAACCAGGACTCAACTTGTAAATAGGCATATGACCTTCCGATTAGACATTCTCATCATACACAGTGTTACCGGGCTTGGACCTCGGCTAATCAACATAATTTTTGGGATGTACAGTAACAAAGATTCATAAACTAATATTTTGTTTCATATCTATTATATCCAATGAACATGTCTACATCTGAATCTAAGTTTCCTAGAATAATGAAATATATCTTATTTAAATTATAAGATTTTGAAGTCATGTTTGGCTCAGACGGTAAAAAGGCGGTTTTGAGAAACCAAACACTATTCACTTAACCCTAAATTTGTTTTGATTTAAGCTTTGTCTTCCATGGATGATTCGAACATCAACAAAACTAACAAGCAATCCATCATCATCCTTTGGTCTTGTCTCCAACCTTCCACTTCTAAAATCTTCACACCACAACCGTTCGTTCAAAAACCTATGAATACATTTGCTGAAGCGGTCAACAACATATATGACATTCTCATCTCACAACTACCTCAACCTGTAATAAATGGTGATATAATGGTTATCACTATACCGGAAGATGAATATCAAGCCGAATTTGAAGGTTGTAAACACAACTTGCATGCAAGAATCATCTGGTCTAAAGGAACAACTCCTCTAAAATTGGTGCCTTACGTTGGAACTTTTTGGGAAAACAGGGCATTGCTTATCTTGGTAAAGGATGCTATGAATTATCCTTTTCATCCCTAGAGGACTCTCAATAAGTTAGGTCAATCGGTTCTCGGAATCTCAATCCTGGTTTTTTAAAACTCTTTGCTTTGACCAGGGACTTCAACCCTAATGTACAATCTCAATCCTCAGCTCAGGTTTGGATCAAGATTTTTGGTTTATCTCAAGAATACTAGAGACCAAAAATTTTGTTTGCTATCGGAATCAGTGTTGGTATACTTATTTATATGGATAAGTTCACTAATAAACCCAAGTTAGATAGAGAATTCAAGCACTTTGTTAGGGTTCTTGTGGATGTTGATATAAGGAAAACCACGTCTATCGTGTCCTAGTATAAAAAGCTAGATATTACTTTTTTTTTATTGATATAGACTATGAGAATATGCCTGAATTTTGAAATCATTGTAACAACATTGGGCACTCTCATTCCAAGTGTAGGAAACTTAATACAGATGCTCAAAAAGTGCCAAATAAAAAAGCTACCAAGCAAGCTTTCCAAGTGGTGAATAATCATAGGAAGCAAATTCAAAATTCCAAAAACAAACAAGTTACACCAGTTACTTCAAACAACACTATAGCAGAATTAGTTAAAGATCTACTTACCTATAGAACATATAAAAATGAACAACTTCCTGAAGAAAAATTAGAAACAATTGTCCCCACAATTGAGAATGTCAACAACACTCAACCAAGTGTTATAGCCAGATCAAACATTATGACTTGTAAACCTACCACCCCTATTGAGGATAATGATAGTAGGTCATCTAGCTCTGAATTTGTTGACGCAACTCAAATGGAAATTCTTGAGGATAATGTTTTAGGTCCCCATCTTAACCATCAACAACCATACCAAACTAGTATGCATAAAATTCCTGACAAGGTGAACAAGGATATGAATTTCCTAAATAAACTCTTGGGCTAACTTTGCAGATTTAGAACTAGAACTTGAGAACATGGAGAAGGAACCCAACACACCAGGATCATTTCATACAACCTTAAGCCTAAATGAGCCTCACCAAAGTAACTCCTAGAAGAAAAGTAAAGGCTTCTACTCACAAAATCACTTATGGTAATAGGTCCAAAAATGGTACTTCCAACAATAAGAAATGATTTGTATCTTCTAGAACGTAAGGGGTTTAACTAACTCCCTCACAATATTGGATCTTAAAATATTAATTAAAACCTACTTTCTTCCATAAGCGAACTACCATGAAGCAGCTTTACAGGAAAATGGATTCCCTTAGAATTAATGGAACTATTGAAATTGACACTGGTAAGATCTCTAATCATGTTATCAATTACTATTGTTCATTATTCAGCAAGTCACCTCTTACCAAGGACAATGACCTCATTGATGAAGTTATCATGCACCTCATTACTGACATCATCAATAGTATGCTTAGTCTAACTTCCTCTCAATATGAGATAAAAGCTACAATCTTCAATCTCAACAAAGACAACTCTCCAGAACCTGATGACTTTGGAGGATTCCTTTTCCAGAAATATCGGTTTATGATCAAATTGGATGTTTGTAATGTTGTCATTGAATTCATCAACACCAACTGGATCCTCCCTAACATGAACTCTAACAATGTTGTGCTCATTCCCAAAACCAATAATGCAGACACCTTGAGCCATTACAGACCAACAGTCGTGGCAAACTTCAAATTCAAGATTATTTCCAAAGTTCTAGTTGAGAAAATAACCCAAATCCTACCCCATTAATCTCAAAGGAACAAATAGGTTTTGTCCACAACAGAAATATTAAGGGTTTCATTTGTCTTACCTTTGAAGCACTCAATATTTTACAGCATAAGTCTCCGCATGGAAACCTTACAATCAAGATTGACATATAAAAGGATTCATAATTCAAGGCCCTCTCTCACTCTCTCACTCATATTCACAAGGCTTTTATCAGAAAGAAAAATATTCTCTCTCTCTCTCTCTCTCTCTCATATTCATGAGGCTTTTATCAGAAAGAAAAAACTCTCTCTCTCTCTCTCTCTCTCTCTCTCTCTCTCTCTCTCTCTCTCTCTCTCTCTCTCTCTCTCATATTCATGAGGCTATTATCATAAAGAAAAAACATGTCTTATTTAGATTTATGTTAAAACTTATATTCTATTTGTTACCGCATTGGACATATATAAGCCCCCCTGCATTGGTCTATATTGTTGTCATTGAATTCGTCAACAACCAACTGGATCCTCCCTAACATGAACTCTAACAATGTTGTGCTCATTCTCAAAACCAATAATGTAGACACCTTGAGCCATTATAGACCAACAGTCGTGGCAAACTTCAAATTCAAGTTTTATTTCCAAAGTCCTGGTTGAGAAAATAGCCCAAATCCTACCCCATTAATCTCAAAGGAACAAATAGGTTTTGTCCACAACAGGAATATTAAGGGTTTCATTTGTCTTACCTTTGAAGCACTCAAGATTTTACACCATAAGTCTCTGCATGGAAACCTTACAATCAAGCTTGACATATAAAAGGATTCATAATTCAAGTCTCTCTCTCA